GTGAAGTGCCTCAACACCCCCATTTGGTAAATCAAGTGTCTCTACCATCCTATTTGGAAAATCAAAGCTCTTCCTACTACTGTTCTACAAACTATTCAGTAGTTTGAATTTTCCCCTCTCATCAGACTTAGTTTGAAGAATACTTAATATTTTGGGTTTAATTTTGTATAAACCATTTAATAGCCCTCAATAACCACCCCCACCTCCAAACTACCTTATTTGTAGATTGTATGAATCTTCTATGAATCTATCAAGATATTGTACAGATTAAAGTCCTAGTTTTTCTTTATGGTCTTTTTTCACCAGTTAATATATTAAAAATACATTTCACAACCGAGGCAGGAGATGGTTCAGAATATTTCCAGAAACGTCTGAACTCGGTGTTGCATATGTCAAACTAAATCTCCATGTAGGCCATTTGTATATTTCTGTTATTCCAGTCTTACTCCTCGTACAATTGACTATCTGGCAGCTCTGTCACCTCTGGCTGTAGGCGGAAGTCTCACATTGCCTCTATTGTTAAACTAGTTTCCCAGAAAACAAGCTTTGTCTCAAACACCAATTTATTTCGCTGCAGCATTTTTAACTCTCTACAAAGACTAAGTGTGCAAGTCTTCAGAATACCTCTGCTGCACAAGAATGCAAGAAAACAGCTGTTGATCTGCTGAGGATGATTCTTCCCTTTATTATGAGCCTCCACCCCTTTATCTCCATATTTATAGCACTCTTTACCAACTCTCTGTAATACCAGGAATATTTATTGTGGCTACAAATATTCCTCCTCCCACAAGTGAAATGAAAACACATCACACTCCTGTCTTTCCAACAACTTAAGACTGGAGCGCCTTACCTCCCTAATGCCATCCACAGGCTTTTAAAGCCTAAGCTCATTGCCATAAGCCTATCCCTTTACCAATCTTTCTTCTCTTATTCTTTTCAACCCTGGTTGTAGCCTGCATTATGGGTCTCAGCCACTGATCCAAGTAATATAAAATTCTATTTGCATTTCAATTTATAAATTATAAATCAGCAGTGTTTTTCAGACGCTCCTGGATTAATAAGATGTAATGTAAGCACTGTGTACACACCCATGGGAGTGCCACTACTTTTGTGAAAAGCTATTTTATTCAATTCAAATTGCAGATGAGGAACCCTTAAATGGGTAGGCTTACAGTCTATTGAATTCAAATCCTTGCCTGTTTTTAATATAAACACAGTATTGAACACTGTTTACTGCTCATTTTCCAATACTGCGTTCCATTTCAAAGCCCTGCACAAACTGTAAGAATAAGAAATAATGTAATATAGCACCTTTCATGTCAGGAGGTCGTCTCAAAGCTCTTAAGACAGGAGTTACTGTATAGTGACCATCTTTTGTAGGTGAACAGGGCTATTAATTTGCATACAGCAATGTTCCACAAACTGCCATGAAGTGAATGACTGGTTTTATTTGAGGGATTGTTTGTCAGGAAACCAGGGGAAACTCCCTTCTCTTTTTGAGTAGACCATGGGATCTTTAAGGTCCATCTGATCAGGCAAACGGGACCTTGGTTTAACATCTCATCTACTCCAACAAAACAGCACATTCCAGGCACTGAATTGGATGTCAGCATAATCTATAAAGTTCAAAATTCCAACATGGGTCTTGAACCCATAAACCTGTGACTCGAAGGCAAGAGTGCTATCAACTGAGCCAAACTGACACTGCAAGTCAGGACAATATGAAGTGTACAAAAGCATTCCCTCCTTCTGCAAAAAATGACATATTAAGTAGTATATTAAGTGAACTGGAGAAAAGATAGGCAAATTGAATTAAAGTGTTCCCACAGACTTTCTGGCAGCACACGCTCCTAGGTTCCCATGGTGTTCATTCAACTAGCAAAGATCAGTTAAAACTGATGACTTTCAGTGATTAAAAGTTGTGCACTCAGAAATGTACAAGATGCAGGAGCTCAGAACACGTTAATCATTACCTTTGAAGACTTTGAACACTGCTCAAGCAAGCTAGCAGCCAAAGGTTTTGGTCGTGAAAGTCACATGCCAAGCCTGCCATTCCACAATTAAAAGGTGCTGACTCTTCTCTTCCTGCTCCTACTCTGGCCTCACACTTATCTTGGATGTGGAAAGACACACATGAACATTGGATTGATAAAATGTACCTCTGTATTTCGGTCATCTTTCCCCTCCCCTCCAGGTCCCACCTTCAGTTACAGTGTCCAGCCAGAATTGACAACTGTCATTTTGGGATGTCCTCCTGACACGACATGAAAGGTGCTCTACAAGTGTAAACTATATTCTATACAATTGGACCTTTAGAAAAAGGGAACAAGGCAATCCACCCAATAGTTTTGACCACAGGGTTCCATTACTCTTGTCGGGAATTCCTCCCCTTAAATTCTGTTAAACTTGGGATTGCAACCAATGCACAATTTGGATATGGGTTATACACACAGCCCAATAATGCTAATGTTCACATCAAGTCCAGAGGCTAGAAAGCAAAGCAAAGTGAGGGCTCTCAACAACTAAACACTGCCGTTCACTGCTTTGAATTGTGCCAGTTTTGGGTGTATCACAGCACTGTTGCAGTAGTTGACGTCACCAAACATGTCGTCCCATGTGTCAGATAATGTCAACCGCTCTCAAGGTGCCACCACTACCTTCCTCAACTTCATAGCCACAAACTAAGTATGGGATTAGAGTAGCCAAACAAATAGAACGATCTTCACTAACTTGACAAAACACACATACATTAGAATGCTGTTTACCTGAATAAGTGAGGCAATATGGCAATGTCCCTATTTGGATAATGATCATAGAATGTGGAGTCCTGTAGCTCAGTGGTTAGAGCACTCGCTTTGCAAGCGAGAGACCTGAGTTCAATTCCAGGCAGAGGGCGAAACCTTGGGCAAGTTTCCTTACTCCACACAGAGCCTAATAATAATCCCTCCAAAACCCAAAACAATAATAAATTGGTCATTTTCAATCTACGACTGTTTGTGGGATACTGCTGCGCACAATTGGCTGCCGCGTTCGCCCACAAATATACAGTCAATTCACTTTAGAGTGTGTTCTGTGAAGCGCTTTGGGACGTCCTCCCGATGTGAAAAGCGCTATATCAAATGCAAGGATTATTATTATTATTATAGAGCTTGCATTGCATTGATCCAGCAGAGAAGCAGAAACTCGCATTTCAGTGTTGCATTTAACACGCTGACCTTCAAATACTTTCATTTGACATGCAAGTAGGTCCTCCCTAACTGGGGCATCCCCTTCAAACCCATTCTCTTGCTTTGACCTTCTGCACTTCTATCTCTGATCTACTGCTCTTTCTCACTCAGTGGCTGAGGCTTCAAGCTACTAAGTCCCTGCTCTCTGGAGCTCGCTCCCAAGATCCATTTGCTTTGCTCCATCTTTCCTTGCTTTCACAATATTTCCTTTAAAAAAAAGTGTACTTGTGCTTGTGGCCAACACCCTTACATTCTCTTTCCACTCCTCATTGTTAAATGCTGGGAAGTTCTGTCAACCTTAACCTCCGTGAAAGGCTCTGTGTAAAGTGCAAGTTAAAATTATAGCCTTGACAAAGGCTATGAGACAGCCATTGTACCCGATCTGTTCAAAATCTGAATGTCTAGCACCGTAGTTACTTAAATCTAAAGTGCAGGTTTTTTCCCATTAAAATTACCTTCTAAAATCAGGGTGCACTTTAAGATCAACGGCATCTTAGACCCACAATAACAACCCTTTTCTTCCCTCCTCCAAACCTTCTAAAATCTGTCCGTGCCTTAGATTTGTTCCATTGATGGATGACAGCAATTAAATTTGTGGACACACACATTTGGACCAATGTGCTGCTGGTTCAGGTACATAAAATATTTGATGTTCTTTTGTGAAATGGGAATCTTAGTATATATTTTCCGCCTAGAAAATGCAGTCACTTTATAATGTATACTGTGAAGCGCTTTGAGACATCTCAAAGAAATGGTAAGGCGCTATATCAAACACAAGGATAATTATTATTAATATATATGGCATTGCTTAATAAATAAAAGCGTCATTCTAATGTCCTCACTGTTCAAGAAACGAACACATATGTTTGTGAACTCTCAAAAATTCTTCCACAAATCCTTCTGTGCTGTACATTTTTCCACAAACCCATGACCGGTCTATATTTAAAGTGTCCTCCCCTGGATTACAGTAAGTAAGCAATGCTTCCCCTCGGAGTTTCCATAGCGATCTTCCCAAAACTTTGGAAGCAGCTCTTTTGCGACAAACGGCCGCATTGTTCCACCGCACAGAAAAATCACCGCTTGGTAGGTTTTAAGTAGGTCGGCCGACCGTCCGTCCCTGATTTCCGGGGACGGTCCCGGATGAGGTACTGTGTCCCTGTCGCCAAATTTGCCCCGTCTTGATTTCAGCAACAATCTGAGCAATAATATCCTAAAACGGATACGCTCCTCAGAGAGACGCCGGCTTTAATCCGACAGCCTTCCCCGCTACCGCCAGCGCCGGGGATTGCGGTGGCTTCAAGTTATCTTGATGCGCGTCCCCGGATTTGGTTTATGAAACGCGGGGGCACCCGATTCTTAAACCAAACCGCTCGGGGAGGGAGGAGGTCCAGTCCCGCCATTAAGCACCGACTGCAAAGTCAATTACCCGCAGAAGGCGGTGAGGCGGGAGACGGGAGGGAGAGGAGGCGCGGAAGTAAAGATCGTTATTATTATTAATAATAATTAATAATAATAATTAATAATAATAATATTAATAACAATAATAAAATAAAAAAAAAACCCTCCCCGAGTTCTTTCTCCAGGTCAACCCAGCGGGTTTGGTGCGGTGCTGCTGGGCTGGTTTTTGCGGGTTCCCCGCAAGTGAGCTGCGGGACAGGTGCGGGGTGTGCGCGTGTAACCCGCACGCAACACGCAACCCCTCCCCCGGTTTGCTCTGTGGCGGCTTGAGAAGCAGAGGCAGACCTGTCCTGCGGTTTCTCGGGGGTTACTCACCGGCTTCGGCATCTCTGCAAACAGTCAGTGGTCCTCCCGCCCCGGAGCTGCGGTGCCGTGAGGTGTGGGTCAGACACTGAGGAGAGGAGGAGAGGAGGAGAGGAGGAGGCGCCGCAGTCCTCACCGATCACCTGCCGCAATGTGCGGTGCAATGGTGACGCCGGGGCTCTGCCCGAGGGTTGTGCCTGAGCCTGGCCCTGCCCCCCCCCCCCCCCTGGCCCTGCCCCCCCCCCCTGCCTGGCCCAACACACCCCCACACACACACACCACCCCACACACCCCCCCCCCCCCAAACACACCCCCACACACACACCACCCCACCCCCACACACCCCCCACAACCCCCCCCCCCCCCCCACACACACCCCCCCCCCCCTCCACACACACACACCAGCCCCCCCCCCCCCACACCCCCACACACCCCACCCCCCCACACCACCCCCCACACACCCCCCACCCCCCCCCACACACACACCAGCCCCCCCACACACACACCCCCACCCCCCACCCCCCACCCCCCCACACACACACACCCCCACACCACACCACCCCCCCCACACACACACACACACCCCCCCCCAACACACACACACACCAGCCCCACCCCACACACCCCCCACCCCCACACACACACACACCCCACCCCCCCACACACACACACACCAGCCCCATCCCCACACACACAGCCCCCACCCCACACACCACCCCCCACCCCCCACACACCCCACACCACCCCCACCCCCCCCCCCACACACACACCAGCCTCCCCCCCACACACACCAGCCTCCCCACACACACCACCCCACACCCCCACACACACAGCACACAGCCCCACACACACACACCCCCACACACACACACCAGCCTCCCCCCACACACACCCACCCCCACACACCCCCCCCCCCCCCCACACACACACCACCCCACACATACCCCCCCCACCCCCCACACACACACCACCCCACACATACCCCCCACACACACCTCCCACATACCCCCCCCCCCCCCACACACCAGCCCCCCCACACACACACCAGCCCCCCCCACACACACACACCACCCCACCCCCCCCACACACACACACACCAGCCCCACCCCCACACACCAGCCCCACCCCCACACACACCACCCCCCACACACACCAGCCCCCCCCACACACACACCACCCCACATCCCCCCACACACACACACCAGCCCCCCCCACACACACACACCAGCCCGCCACACACACACACACACCAGCCCCCCACACACACACACACACACCAGCCCCCACCCCCAACCCCCCACACCAACACCTTCACACTGGGGGTGCAACTGACACAGAGCAGCCAACTAGAGGGTGAGGGGTCGTGTAGGGCGAGAGGGCAGCGAGACATCTCCCAACTCCCTGTGGAGAGTGAGCGGAGATGTCACTCCTCAGTTAATTTCCCCTAAAAAGATCTGAATCCCGGAACCTATGCTTTTCACTGAAAAAGTGACCCTTTCGCAAGATTTTTGGGGAAAAAAAAACATTCTTTAAAAGCGCAATTTCTTGCACGTCTGTGTGCAATCAGAATAACATGTCTTACAAAAGAAACACTACCCTTCGCCATGAAGAAGGTTTTGCTTTCGGACCCAGGTTTCCAGGTTAAATCTACACAGAAACGCTCTGTGCACATTGGCGGCGTTTCCCGGGAAGCGCTCTGAGGGGTCTGAATGCTGCGATGAGGCGCGGCACCGAATGCAATGATTATTATTATAGCATTTTTTCACTGAAGAGCCCCTCTTCCCTCCCGCATCGCTTCCAGTCGCCCTTATACCCGAACCCCAGCTATATCCTCAACACAAGCTGGTCAGCTCCTGCTGGTGCCACTCCGTCTGGCAGTGAATGCCCCCCCTGATGGCAGTGCATGCACCTTCGATTGGCAGTGAGCTCCCCACCGACCGGTTGCCAGTCACCCCCCCCCCCACAACCACCATCCCGACTGGCAGCGAGCATCCCCTGACTGGCAATGAGTGAGTGCCCAGTGCCTGGCAATGGTGACTGGCAGTGAGTACCCAATGCCTGGTCATGGTAACTGGCAGTAATGACTGGCCGTGGTGCCTGGCAGTGATCACAGCTCTGTACCTGTGTGTGTTTGCCGGCGGGACATTAA